GGGGGGGGGGGGGGGGGGGGGGGGGAGTTGGAAAAAAATGTGTGACAAGCGGTGTCGTGCTTTTGTCGAAAAGAGGCAAGCGTCACCGGACTAAAAGATGACAAGCTGAAAGAGCTGGAAGATGCTTAGGTGAAGTTCAGGCAAACGAAAAGTAGAGTAGGATAAGGTATAGACTTCTCCAAAATTAATACCATTAATGAGAGCTCATATCGTTCGATGTGTTCAAAGACTCCATAAGCAAAATATTTTCGAGAGATTGAAAAAAAGAGATAAAATGAAGAGAGACTTTGCACACTCTCGAGTATATTTTTTGATCTATTTGTTACAATTTACAATTTACAGCATATTACTTTAAAGCTGCGGCATGTCTCTTTGAAGAATTTCACGGAAATATTTTTATAACAACTTTGTGTATACACAATTGTCAGTCGGCGAAATTTAAAAGTGAAAATACATTTTCAGAATGAAGTGTTTTATAACGCGATGAATTTAGAAATTATCGAAATATCCGTGTCGGATTGAAAGACGATCTATAGGTGACATCGTAGGTTCAATGTTTACGAGTACAATTTTTAGTGAAATGAGAAACAACCGGCATACCAGAGGAAACACGCGATCACTATGTATCGGAGATGCACATGCACGAGTGCACCAATATGAACTTGCAAACCGTATATTTTATTAATAGCGTGCACGAAAACCTCCTTCTAAAACGGGTGAGCGGACGTCGACATTCGTAAGGTTTATCTATAATCTATTTCGAAGCCTGATAAAGGTGATCGATAAGAACTTATCAACAATTCGTATTTTTAAACAAACAACCTATATTCGTATTTATAACGTCGGTGACGCGCTTTAACACGCTCAACGATTGCGATAGGCGAACCTACGCGAGTTTGAAGATTATCATCGTTCCTTTACATTGACTAATTTTGCAATCGAGGACTCGTGCCGATCAGACCTGTTGGTACATCGCGGTGTATTTAATACTTTGTTTCCGTACAAAAAGATGATTATATCCAATCGTAGAATATGTAGTGATCATAGCACTTTTCTCCCGTGTGTGTATCCTTTTTTCCAATGTTATTCCATTGCAAGAATTTCGGCCACACATATTGTCTCGCTTTTAAAGTCATTCATGAAAATGTGGTGAGAAGGTTTCAACGGAGCAAATACTCGACGACGATATTATGCGACGGATGGAAGATACGCGCGCGATGCCGAAGATACGATTCAACTCTGGCAGGTGATCTGGCGAGTCCCAACTCATCCGTAGGCATATATACGCGGATCCCGAGGCCTACGACCTCTTCGCCTCATTGTTCGATCTCGTGATAGAGACAGCAGCGCGGTGGTTTCGCGACCGACGATGTTCATCCCGACTCGGATTGAAGCGAACCGAAAAACACCGGGTAATCTCGATCCCGCGGGGAGGCGCGTGGTATCCCGCCATGGGCGAGATTCACCACTCCGAGGTGGAGCGAAAAGTAAGTAGAGGATTTATAAGCAGATGGATTTATAAGCAGTCTAAACTAGAGATACTTGAAGACCTGACATACGAGAGGAAAGTCCCGGTGAATTTATAACTATTTGTTCTCGTTTTTTCTGCCTCTTCCTTCCTTTGTTACTCTGTAATTGCCAATAAAGAAAATGTCGAAAGTTAAAATATAAGTAGAAACTCTGGCAGGGGGATCTTTTCGTTGAATAATAATTTGCACGTGAAATTCGCTCGCTCCGTTTCGCTCATCAGGTGAATGTAAAACTGAAGGAACAAAGCGGAAGGGAAATCCCTGTTCGTTCAATACACTTTCGTTCACGGGTGTTTAGAACGCTAAATCCATCCGGTGGTGGAAGACGCGCGGTTTATCCCTCCAGAAAACTGATTCCTGCAATTAGTTTTGTATCGCTTAGGCGCGGCGAGAGAGAGAGAGAGAGAGAGAGAGAGAGAGAGAGAGAGAGCTCTCTCTTATACACATCTAGATGTGTATAAGAGAGAGGAGAGAGAGAGAGAGAGCTCTCTCTTATACACATCTAGATGTGTATAAGAGAGAGGAGAGAGAGAGAGAGAGCTCTCTCTTATACACATCTAGAT